CCTTCGATACGTCTGCGTCGTATACTCCCTGATGGCACGGCGCGCGCTATGGGGCTTGCGGGCAGGCTCGACGCAGAGCGCTCATACACAGCATCCGGAGGGACTGTGGACACGGTCATCGAGACGGAGAGCCAGTCGGACGTCGTCGAGCTGGACCTGACGTCCAAGTTTGTCGTATCCGGGGAGCGCGGTCGCGGCGCGCCAGACAACCTTCATGAGACGGTCATGGAGCTCATTCAGGCTGATTTCACACCGCACGAGTCGAGGCATTTGCATGGCAAAGTGCGCTTCATTCTGAAAGCTAGAATTGAGGGATATGTGAGCAAGTATCGCATTCTGGTACCACGCTCGGCGGACGCATATATCGTGGCAGGTAAGACTGGCCCTTCATACGTGAGTACCTTCGCGGAGCGCGGGGCGCGGAGGCACATGCGCGCGTACCTCACAATTTAGCAGACCAATGTTCGTATCTCGACTTGTGGCCGTTGCTTTGTCTCTCGCAGCTGGGCAGAGGGTGTTGGTTGGTTGGTGAGTACATATACGGCGCGCGTGGGGTGCCCGAAAGGGTGTCGCTGATACGCTCGGCCTCCATCCATCATACACTAACTCTCTTCTCTTCTCGCTTCTGGTTCTTCGGTTTGTGGAAACATGAAGCTACAGGTTAACGCTGTGGCGTACGCAGCTATGGCTATCCTTGACACCGAACCGTACGTGATCTGCTCTACATTACTTGTACACCGACTAACCTTGTATTCACAGGTTGTGGCGAGACGCGCGACTCGCGGCTACTTACGTTGCAGGCTTGTCTGCGATCGCGTTCTTTCTGTCAATATTGCACGGCGCACTACGCCCTCGCCTGTCAACGAGTACCGGTCCAGTCAACACCTCTCACAAGTCCACCCCAGCGCATACGGCGTCGCCTGGAGGTATCACCATCTTCGGACTCAGGTTCGCTCGAACTCTCTGCGTACTCGTCCTACTGGCGCTCCATGCATTCGACCTCGCGCGCAAGACGGACACTCATGCATCAGGATCTGGCGACCGTGGTGCTGCGCTTGCTCTCGCGCTCACACTCGCATATGTACGTTTAAAACAACATGTCTATTCCTTCTCAGAGCTCACGTCCCCCACCCAGGTCTACGCGTCTACACTCGCTTTGGCAGAACTTACGTGCTCGAGCGCTCACATGCGCATGGCGTCACCGCATCTTACGCTCATCTTGCTCACCGGCTTTGCGGTCTATGCATATCGCAATGTCTGGCCTCTCATGACATACACGCTCAACCCAGTGGACTCGGAAGGCGCTCTTCTGTGGGTCAAGATTACTCTGCTTGGAGTAGCAGGCATCGTTATCCCGCTTATCACTCCACGGCGATACATTCCTGTCGACCCAGAGGTATGAACATCTCTGTCGTAGTAGTGCACTCAACGCTAACGACTGTCACAGCGCCCGACTGAAAAGCCGAACCCCGAACAGACTTGCTCTCCCCTTTCGCTCCTTCTCTACAGCTTCCTTGACAAGACTGTCTACGCTTCTCAGCCGATCCCCGGGATAGCCGACTGCGACCGTGCCAAGCACTTGGTGGAGCGCAACTTCAAGTACTTGGACGTGTTTTCGGGAGCGAAGAGGCGGCATGTGTTCTTTGCGCTTATGGTGTGTTTCGTGAGTCGAGTTCACTAAGAAAAGTGTGCCATCCCATTGACACAGAACGGATAGGTTGGGAGTACATCTCGCTAGCTTTCTTGATGGTCCTCAGGGCCATCGCCTTGCTGCTCGCACCCGTTGATATCAACCGTCTTCTAGCGTAAGTCTTGATGCTGAACTGTTCACGATGGTTGCTAACAAGACTACAGCTATCTCGAATCGGACGGAGATGACGCCGTCGTTCGACCGTGGGTCTGGTGTCTCGTCATGTTCCTCGATCCGTTCGCAGGCGCCATCGTAACTCAGTACTCGAACTTTGTGACCGTATGTTCTCGCTTCGTACTTCAGTACGGTCGTAACTAACACATCGCAGACAGCAACACTCGTCTGCGCCAAAACGATGCTCACTCAACTGATCTTCGAGAATGCCCTGCGTATGCGCGTCAAGTCCGAGCCGGCCTCTTCTTCACCAATAGGGACCAATAAGAATGACGATCTGTCTGGCAAACTGAATAACCTCGTCACTTCGGATTTGCAGAACGTCGTCAACGGACGCGATTTCCTTGTGGTGGTGATCTTCACGCCTACGACTGTCGCAATCTCGCTGTACTTTCTGTACGGTATCCTCGGGTGGAGGTACGTGCCTGTTCTATACTGGCTCATTCACAGTGCTAATCAAGCTTCAGTGCCTTCGTCGCTTTAGCAGTGATGCTCGCCAGCCTGCCCCTCCCCTTCCACCTCACACGCGCCCTTCAAACCGTGCACCGCACCCTCATGCAAAAGACCGATGCGCGCGTGCAGATCGTGTCTGAGATGACAGGAGCGTTGAAGATGGTGAAGATGTTTGGATGGGAGAGGAAGATGGCGGAGAGGTTGGAGGGCAAGAGGGAGGATGAGTTGAGGTGGTTGAGGTGGAGTGGGTTGATTGAGTTGGGCAATGATAGTGTTACGTTGTGAGTTATGTCTTAATGCGATTGTGCTTCACGATGTGAAACGCTGACGGGATATATACAGAGTGATACCAGTCCTGCAGATGACGGCTACCTACGTGGTTTTTACAGTCGTCATGGGCGGAAAACTCACGCGTGCGTTCTTCCTTTACTCCGCCTCTCTCGGATACATGCTCATGTGCATCCCAGCATCGATCGTCTTCCCATCTATGTCCGTCTTCATGCTCCTCCGCCAACAAATTGGATCATTCTTCTACTTCGCCTCGCCTCTCACCAAGACCAAGGTCTCGCTCGACCGCATCACCGATTTCCTTCGCGAGACCGAACTTCTCGATCAGTTCACTTCCGAAGATGTCGTCTCCTCCACCGTTCCACTGCAGGACGACTCAAACATCGGAATTCGCGACGCCTCCTTCACCTGGTCCACATCTCCTTCGCCCAACGCGTTCACCCTCCGCGTCCCCGGCTCGCTTACCTTCGAGCGCGGGAAGATCAACATTATCACTGGCCCGACCGGATGCGGCAAGACGAGCCTTCTCATGGTGCTTCTCGGCGAGATGCACTTTGCGCCGCTCAGATCCGGCGCACAAGTTAGCCTTTCCCGCTCTGGCGGTGTCGCGTACGCTGCGCAGGAGAGTTGGGTCATGAGTGGCACTATTCGGGATAACATCCTGTTCGGGGCGGAGTACGACGAGGCGCGGTACAAGAAAGGTCAACATCCATATCGTCTAGCGGCTCCCCGCTTATTGCTGACATCCCCTTGCGCTCTCGCAGTGATCTATCAGTGCGCCCTCAAGCGCGACCTCACGGTCTTCCCCGCTAGCGACCGCACCGAAGTGGACGAGAAAGGCCAGACGCTCAGCGGCGGGCAGAAGGCAAGGATAACGCTGGCACGCGCGATCTACTCCTCAGCGGATGTGTTGCTGTTGGACGATGTGCTTGCTGTTCTGGATGTCCATACCGCGAGGTGGATTGTGGGGAAGTGTTTAAAGGGCGCCTTGGTTAGGGTAAGGACTGTGCTGCTCGTCGTACGTCCCCTTTCTACGCTTTGTGCATACGGTCCGAGATGCTAATTGAGTACTGCAGACGCAGAACATCGCGCTCGTGGGCCCCATCGCGAACTTCGTCGTCGCGTTTGGTGCCGGCGGCGAGATCGTGGCGCGTGGTTTCCACGCCAAAGTATTGTCCAAGGATCCCGCGCTCGTGGCCGACGAGGCTGTCATCTCCGAGGAGGTAGAGGAGAGGGATGATATCGAGGGCGAGGAGGAGCCCGAGACGGAGTATGTGGCGGATGGGACGCTTGTCGTCGATGAGGTAGTGGCGAAGGGGCATATTTCCTCGCGCGCTTGTGAGTGCCTTGTCCACTCCCGATCGCCGAGCGCTTACTGAACCCATTCGCAGTGATGCTCTTTTGGACCTCCCTCGGCGGCGACCATCCGGTCCTGTTTTGGTTTAACTTCGTCATCGGCATGCTCGCGTACCGTGTACTAGCAGACCTTCAGGTACGTCGTCTAATCCTCTGTCCAAACCTAGCCGCTGACGTGCTTCCAGCCGTTCTGGATGGGTTGCTGGGCTGACGCATACGGTGTACCTGGCCCCGTAAGCGTCACATTGTGAGTCCCATCCACCCTCGCTACGCCTCAGTATAGCTCATTAGCCGCGGTAGTTTCCTGGGCGTCTTCCTTCTCGTCGTGCTCGGCACCGTTCTCACGTTCATGGGCGCTAACGCCACGCTTATGTTCGGCGTTCTTCGCGCGGCGAGGAATATCCACGCTTAGCTGATGGACGCCATCCTCGGCACTACCCTACGCTGGGTCGACTCTACGCCCTCTTCCCGTATCATCACGCGCTGTACCAAGGATATCAAGGCAATCGATGGCCAACTCGCCTTTCAGTTCAAGTGGCTTGGTACGTCAAGCTCAGTTCTTAGTCTATAGTCGAGGGTGCTGATGGGAAACGCAGTCAGTGTCAGCGCCCAGCTGATCGTTCAGCTCGTCGCCGTCGTACTCGTTGCGCCCGCGATGCTCTTACCCGGCCTCATCATTCTGGCTCTCGGCGCCTGGGTCGGGAACGTGTACATGAAGAACCAGCTTCCGGTGAAGAGGGAGATGAGCAATAAGAAGGCGCCCGTTCTCGGTCACTTCAGCGCCGCTATCGCTGGCTTGCGTACGTTGTACCACCTCATCTCGTCGAAAATAACATACTTAATATATGTATAGTATCAATCCGTGCATACGGTGCACAGGAGGATTTCCGGCACGAGTCGTACAGGCGTATTGACGAGTACACCCGCGTTGGCAGAACACTATGCAACCTGAGCTGCTGGGTTAGCTTGCGTAGTGATACTCTCGGTGCTCTTCTATCGTCGACGCTTGGCGCCTATATGGTCTATGGACCTGGCGCTTCTACGATCGGCGCCTCGAACGCGGGTTTCGCGCTTGCTATGGCTAGTGAGTTCATCTGCAATGCACACCATTGAGCTTTACTAAATGATCTACGCCAGCTACTTTCAGTCAGCTGATCTTATGGCTCGTACGCGTCTACAACGACTTTGAGGTCGAGGGCAACAGCCTCGAGCGCATACAGGCGTACCTCGAGATCGAACAGGAGCAGAAGCCCACCATCGAGTGTCAACCTCCCGCGTCCTGGCCCTCGAGTGGCGAGCTCCACGATGAGAACCTTTCCGCGCGCTACTTTCCCGACGGACCCGAGGTATTGCACGGCCTCAACTTCAACATGAAGTCGGGCGAACGCGTCGGCATTGTCGGACGTACCGGTAGCGGAAAGAGTTCTCTGACACTCTCGCTACCACGGTGTATCTTTACCGAGGGGAATGTGCGTTACGACGGCGTCGAGACTGCCAATCTGAACCCCGACGAGCTGCGCGCGAAGATCGTACTGATGATTCTCAGGGAAGAGTTCGATCGCGCGCAGGCTGCGATCCTCGAGATCGATGGTGGCGGACTCGGTCTTCTCTCGTGGTCGTTCGAAGGCGCCGAGGACTGGTTCGGCGGGCGTATCCAGATCATTGTACGCCTTGATCGTCCCGGCTCGATGCCGCCGCCTGCCTTCGTACTCGAGCCGCCAGAGATGAAGCGCTCGTACGCGCTTGCGCGCTTGCGCGCGAGCTGGGATCCCGTCGGCTCCTCGTACTCAAGACCGCACCACCTCCGCCGGCGGACGCCACGCAAAAGCGCAAGCACTACGAGCCGCCGCTCGAGCTGTTCGCGAGGAAGTTCGTCTTGATGGGTCGTGTCTTCATCCCGTTCGACGCGAAGGATGGGCACGTATATGCTGTTGAAACGGATGAGGACTACGAGCGGGATCCTATACCTGATATGGGAGACGGACTGCGGCAGCCCTTCTGGGAATTCATCAAGAAGCACAACCCTTTGGCACTTAACTACCGACAGGCGCGTATGCTCTCCTACCTTGGATGTTCCTATTCTGAACAGGTGACTCGTCCAGGCGTTGAGTAAGTGGGCTACGAGGTTCGACCTCGGACTGTCAACCTCAATCCCTGTGCTTGAGTTTGACGAGGAGAACATCGACTACATTGAAGACGTCGGTGTGTGTTCTCCCACAGGTGTCAATGTGTCTGATACTGATGAAACGTGTACGCTCTAGTCCCTGACGGCGTCAAACCTGGTAGCAACGTGCCGACCGAACAAAAGATGACCGATGGTATCGGCTTCATGAACGGCGCAGCTCTTTCAGCAATCGCAAGGCGTATACATCTTGCCAATCGACCCGGCGCTGTTCAAGGTCGTGTAGCAGGCAGCAAGGGTCTCTGGCTACTTCACCCAACCGACCGGTCTCTAGACGAACCGCCTCGCGTATGGATCCGCCGCTCCCAACAGAAGATCATTCTGCACGAGCTCAGCCGCGCCGACCGCATCTTCGCCCTCGTACAGCCTTCGCGCGTCTTCACGCCCGGGCATCTTGGTATGCAACCAATCTTGAACCTCGCGCATAACGGTGTTCCTGCTTCAGCGTTCGAGGACCTGATGGGCACTAGTCTGCGCGCGGAGGCAGAACCATTCACCGATTGGACGCGTCCGCACGCGATGCCGCTTCTTTGGGCCGCCGCCGCTCGAGCAGGCAGCGTGCCTTCGATACGTCTGCGTCGTATACTTCCGGATGGCACGGCACGCGCTATGGGTCTTGCAGGCAGGCTTGACGCCGAGCGCTCGTACACCGCATCCGGAGGGACCGTGGACACGGTCATCGAGACGGAGAGCCAATCCGACGTCGTTGAACTAGACCCAACATTCAAGGTTGTTGTATCCGGAGAGCGCGGTCGCGGCGCGCCTGACAATCTCCATGAGACGGTCATGGAACTCATTCAAGCCGGATTCACGCCTCAGGAGTCGGGGTACTTGCACGGCAAAGTGCGATTCATCTTGAAGGCTGTGATCGAGGGATACGTGAGCAAGTACCGTATTCTGGTACCACGCTCTGCGGAGGCGTATATTGTGGCTGGTAAGACTGATCCTTCATACGTGAGTACCTTCGGCTGACGCCTATTGCATAGATCCGTTCGGCTATCTGGCGGAGGATGAGGTCCACTTCCGCTCGTCGAAAGAGCTGGGCGATCCTCTTGTCGACTCAGACCCCTTCCTCGTTACGGGCGACGTTCTGGTATGTTCATCTGATCACTTGCACTCGGTGACCATAGCTCATTGTTACTTAGATCAGCCGTTATCCTACGACAGTCGCCTCGGACATCCGCAAAGTAAGTTGCTCCTGATCCTCTATATTTCCTCGCGCTGATTGTGTTGTAGGCACGAGCCGTTACGCATCCTGCGTATGAAAGCTACGTGGATATGATCATACTGCCTATCCGGGGTCCCCGCTCCTTCGCGAGCTGGCTAGGCGGCGGCGATTACGACGGTGGTGAGTAATGCACACATCTTTTCGTCTTGATAGCGGCGATCTAAGACTCAAAACATAGACATGGCCATGATTACATGGGAGCCGACACTCGTCGAACCCTTCAAGAACGCCCCTCAGATCGTTGAGCCGGCGCCCGGCTTCATAGAGAAGAACTTTGACTCCAGCGCGACGACCGTCCAGGACTTCGTTGCACGTTTGCAAGGTGACCGCGCGGCGCTTGGGACCGAACTCCTCGAAACATTGCTGTCAGGCATGCGAGACCGGCGCGTAGGCCTATACGCGCGCTTCCACGACCTCGCTATCTGGCGGTTAGGATATGGTCACCCTGCCACGGAGCGATTGGCACACATGTGAGCGAACATCTTCGCACATTGGAGTCGAGGTACTCATTTATGCCAGGTTCGTCACTTGTCTGGACGCGAACAAGACAGGTCTTCGCACCCTGGACCACGTATTCAGGGCGGATGACCTGGCTTGGAAGCTCCAGAATCTGCCGGCGTGCATGGCGCCACAGGTCAAGGGAGCGTATGCGGGCTTCTCTGAGGGAAGCCCCTTTATCCTTGACCTCCTGCGAAGCCGTGGGCAGGCATTGGAGAACGAATTGCTCGGTGTGTACGACCAATCCGGCCTTAACTTCACGCGCGACGATACCCTACTCGAGCCTGCTCACCGCGCAGAGCTGTACGCTCGCAAGATGCAACGTGATCTCAGGCTTGATCTATGGGTACAAGATCTCGACCGCCTTCGGGAGTTCGTCGACCGGATTCGCAAAGAGTGGCCGTCGGCTTCCTCGAGTTCTCCGCGGAAACCGCGAAGCGCCGAAGACCGTACGGCATCGATTAACGCTCTAGCGCGTCGCTTTGAGCATGACGCTCCGCGACTGGAGAGTTTTGCACTTTACTCGGCCGCAGAGCTAGCCTCACTTCGCGCGTCGTTCGCCTATGCCGCTTGTCCGCAGGGCAACGAGACATTCGCTTTCGCTGTCGCCTTCTCAGACTTGTGTCGCATCAAGGCCAGTGCTGACGATGCGGCTGTCATTGTGAGGAGCATTGCGGACGTGCTGACGATGCAACGGTCCACGCGCGCGGCACTAGGAGGCAACGTCGTGAGCTCACAGCCGTCGGCGTATTATTTCTATGTCACATCAATCTAGTTCATGCATCCCTATGTACATGTATAGTCACAACGTTCTGATTTGCTGGCCTCTATCAGAATGTACGTGTCTGCTGAAGTCGTATACAATGGATATCCGAGTACGACTAGTACAAAGCGTGTGAAGTCTCCCCTTAGTACGGTCGTCACAAGGCAGCATCGGCGAAACAATGCGCCGCGGCGTGGGTTCTCACATACCCCGCTTTGGGCTCTGTGAGGTAAATATCGATAGCAGATGTACCGAGTGATAGTGGCGTTGCGGGTACACGCGCGGTACGGCCATCTAGTGCATTCCACAGACTGGCAGTCGGTTGACAGTTGGCCCTTGATACAAGCGCCCGGGGTTTCCCGACGAGGCTGACGAAGTCTTCACCTGGCGCGTCGAGTGACCGTGTCTACTCTGTTCTGCAGCGAGATATACAGGACATCCTGAGGCTCGGACGGACTAGGAGCTGTGGCGCGAGACGCGTGCGAGGAATGGGATCAAACGCGGTCCTGGGAACAACGTGACATAGCCGTGATCGTGTTCCAGTGTTCCTTGTCTTGTTCCTGCGTCCGCCGAAGGGCAACGAGCTTCTGGACGCGACCAAGAGCATTCCGCCCCAGGGCATCGACTGACGATGGCATAGATAGAAGCACACAGAAAATCTACTCCCACAGCCTACCCACGCATCCTCTTCCGGCGATACCCTCAAGCCCCTCAAATATCACGCCTTGCCCAAATCAGGGCTACTTCGACTACGGCGACGCGTTTGAACGCGCGCCTGCTGTCCCCCTCCCTCCGGTCCGCGCGACTGTAACTGCTACGCATCCATAGTCTGGTTAAATCGGCATGGACAAAGAGCTCTCGGCATCCCAGGTATGCTTCTTGAGGCAGAATCACCCCGGCAGTTCATCTGACACTATCTCAGCAAGATGAGGCCCTCTGGGCGCAGGTCGGCGGTTCCTTCCTGACGCAAGAACTTGTGTGCATGGAAGTCGACGAGGACTCGTTCGAGGGTAAGCCATCGCGCAAGCGCCGCTTAGAATCCCTTGACGAAGGAGACTCGATGGTAGTCGAGCTGGGTGCGTATGTTCACGATGCACATGATCTCACCGTTCTGACGTTACTCGTCAGCCCTTGCTATCACTCCCCCTCCGGAATCGAAATCTCGCCGAAACAATAGGCAAGACTCCATCAGTACGACCGCCTCGACGTCGACGGCCTCGACCTCGGTGTCTAGTGTTTTGTCCCGGGCTCCTACACGCAACAGTTCCATGACTACACAATCTGGAGATGATACGCTGGTTCTATCGAATACGTCGCTTGACACTCGCAAGACCTCGATACGCTCTAGCATTGCGATGCCTCCAAAGAAACGCGAGGACTACGTCAGAGGAGCTCCGGACTCTTTGCGCAAGAAACCGAACCCAGCAGCGTCTCTCCCAACGCCTCAGTCTATAACGCCACGTGTTGTACGGCAACCTCAGGACGACCGACTTCCTTCCCTCGCTGACCAAGCCAGTCGTGATACAAAGCGTGCAAGGTAAGAATGGATGTCATAGCGAGTGTCCGGTTATTGATTCGAACTTTACCAAGACTCGAGCCCTCGTCCTCGTCTCGCCAGAACGCGCCTGCGGCTATCACGACACCGCCAACTTCTGCAAGAGTCCGTGCGCCTACTACTCCTGCAGCTCCGACACCTCTACAGCCCCCCGACTTCACTCCAGAGCGACGCAATCATGTTCCCTCTAAGCTGACAGACCCTGGGCAGCCACGCCCAGTCGCTGCTCCCATCCCCGGACCTTCTTCGAGTTCTCATATCTCGAAAAAGATGGTCCAGTTGCTTGCCCAGAGGACAACGCCGTCCAAGTATACTGCTTCCGTTACGACGACGAGTACGATCGCTGCTTCCAGCTCTCCTGCTCCTGCTTCCATTCCTGCTGCTCCCGCCGCTGTATCATCTCTGCCCGAGCTGGACTTCGTGCTCGGCGATACTGTTCATCTGCCACACGAGCTCGTTGCCCACGGATCCTATGCCGCTATGCCCCACGTGGAAAACGTAGTGGCGGATGCCGCCACGCCCCGTTGAGAACGAAGACGCGGATCCGCGCGGGAAGTAGCCCCAGGCAGGTAG